GATAAAACCGAACTTCAAAGATTTTTAAGATGTTTAAATTATATTAGTAATTTTTATAAAAATCTTGCTATTGATGCAAAAGATTTATATGATAGACTAAAAAAGAATCCTCCACCTTGGACGGATCTTCATACTACTGCAGTTCAACGACTCAAACTAAAAGCTAAAGAATTACCTTGTTTAACTTTACCTAATCCGACTGCATTCAAAATAATTGAATGTGATGCCTCTGAACTCGATTTAAAACAACAAATTGATTCTCAAAAACAACTCATTCGCTTTACTTCCAAAGCTTGGAATCCTACTCAAAAGAATTACTCCACTGTCAAAAAGGAATTATTAGCTATTATACATTGTGTAACTAAATTGTACTCCAGGTAGATACTGGAGGACAAACTATCTTATTCCAAACAAATATAGAGAAATCTAATATTATTGTCCCCAGAACAATATCATTGTCAAAAATAGTTCTACCACAATCATGGTCAGTACAAAATGATCAACAACCTACACAGTATCCGGTCCAAAACATTCCTGAAAAAATAGTGGAACATAATAATGGTAACATAGAAATACAATTTAAGAGTAATCCAAATTATTTAACTCAAAATGATTTAAATATCTCTTCTAATACATCTCACAAATCGAAACAAAAAACCCGACTCTTAGACCCAGGCCCATCAAGTCCAAGAAAAATATTCTCCTTATCCATAAAGCAGACCTGATATGACCCTTTGAATAGTAAAAAGATTCTCCTTATCCATAACGCAGACTTGATATGACCTTTTGAATAGTAAAAAGCAATATTCCTTCACTTGACAAGACCCCAAGCACAGTAATTAGATTGCTTTTCTGATTTGACTAAATATTAGTCACATGCTTTTCTGATTTGACTAAATATTAGTCACATCACTCCCTTCTTCTTCGAATATCAAAGCGTCCACGTACCCTCAACAAATAGTATCATGATTGTCTCTTTATAAAAAAGCAAGATTCTCACCGACATGGCATCCCATCATCGACATTACTGAGACATCCTCAGCCACGAATGCAGTCTTCCTTATCTACAAAGGCATCTTCTATCATATCACCATCCTCTCATGTGCGCATCTTCGTCCACTTGGCAGCCATTGACATTCGGCTCCATCTATAAAACCCCATCTCCTCTCAACTTGAAGGGAGAGCGAACAAGGAGACCTCACAGCCACATCAGAAGTCCTTCTTCAACATTCCTCTCTTATTTTTCTCTTCTATTCTCTCTTTCTTTTCTACTACAGTAGATTAGCTTTCTCTCAGCCCTGTATACACCGTCTACTACAAAGTCGGTAACTTTTATTCTTACTTTTCTTCATGTGTGATTGTAATTTCTCTTTTCTCCCTACTTACTGTCCATCAGAATGGAAGTTGTTTAATAGCTATTGTATATGTCAACAGTAAGTTTCATGTAAACATGACTATTCCATTGTATTGATGTTTGTATTGATGTTATAGTTATGAAATACAATTGAAATTAGTCTTCAGTATTAAAATTAGAAATTCAACTCATACCTCTTGGATTATCTTAGATGTTTCTTTATTCCGCTATATATATATATATATATATATATATATA